AAAAAAGTACTCCAGAGTGTTGTTCAGCATGGGGGTGAGTAGAAAATGAAGGCTAATCATGTTTTGGGTGTACTATTCCTTTAAGGCCAATCAAAAGCTTTATTTTTACCTTGCTTGAAAAACTGATCAGACTTACAAACTGCAGTTAAAAACTGACTTCTGGCAGCTCCTGCTGCACTCCCAGGAGAAACAGTAACTTTTGTTAGCGGATCTGGAGTTACCAAAAATGTAATTAGCATAAGCTAATGGTTTCAGACGCCAAATCCGCTAAATGAGATGGTAATTTCTCTATCAACCTTTCAGCTATTCTCACCAATAGCCTTGGTTACAAAGGGATAGATCTCGTCAGTAAGAATATTCTCAGTGAAAATTGTAAACAAGCAAGAAAGATCCGCTACACCATTCACTACTGTAACACTGGTAGCTGCTTGAGGCGGACGACGCCTTGACTATAGCTTTAATGTTCTTTACGCTGACATTTGACAGATTTGAAGAATGAATCAGGACTCATGGGGCTTGGTAACAGTTTTTGGACCTGGTCCGATCTTTTCTACCCTGTGTGAATTATACCCATCAATTTGCTTTGCTTTCACAACTTCTTGCAATGTCGGTTTAAATTTTTTTTTTTGTTGTTTTTTTTAAACTGCATATCTACTGCTTGATTAAAGACAATATCAACGTCTGCAAAAGCGGTCCATGCAGCGGCTGCATAAGTGATGAATCCTGCATGCCAAGTCATTTGCTAATGGCTTTAAAAGGCTAAAATTGAAAATATATATTTGCCTTACGGTCTTTCGTAATGCAAGAAACAGTGCTTGTCTTCAGCTGATTTGTTTTTTTTTTTTTTTCTTTAATGCTGTTCTCTGTCAGAATAATTCTCCTGCTCTGTCTGTGGAAGTAGAGAGCAAAGACAGGGTGAACCGGCTGAACTGAGTCCCTGTTTCTGTTTTCCCCCCCTTGCAGTCCTGAACGGGCCTCCCATGTCTGTGAAGAAGGAACGGGAAGCAGAACTGCTGGTGAACCGACGGGAGCAGCGCAGCGGCGAGGTCATCTGCATCGACGACTAGACTACACACACACACCCCATACTAGTACGCACACCTGAAACCCATTTCCTGCTAAAATGACACCTTTCGGTTTCTCCCTCACAGAGGGACATTTTTTTTGCAGGAGAAAACAGCACAGTGCTGAACTACCCTCTCAGTGTTATAAATAACTGACTGGCTGAAAAAAACCAACGTAAGCGATTGTGATTGTAGTTGCTTAATTTGAAACAAACACTTCCAACATAACTGCATTTGCACACGTAGACATACTCTCACTGTCACAAACACTCCAACCTGCCTCTGACTTCTACCCATTTTACGTCTGCCTCAAACCATTATACTCCTCATGAACGGCCGGCTTTCTAAAGTGGGCCTCCTCCTCAAGAGATGCTTCAAACCTCACCTATACACATGCAAACATACATTAAAAAAAACGCGAAACCCAGCCCAGTCCCAGAAACCTACTAGATCTGTCAGTATTCAGTATCTCCCTTCCTCCTCTTCTCAAACCTCCCTCAGAAAGCTGCATGTAAAAACTATACTCATTTCTACCACGTCGCTCCATCCCCTGAAGCATGCTCTTATCACAACAATGCTGTCTTGTGGAAAACGAGAGAAAAAAAAAAAAAGAAATGTTATCAAGCTGTGCCTACTCATTTTAATACTATTTCTAAAGCTCAGAGAAAGGCTGATCCTCTGGTGTCTGAGCTTAAACAGCTCCAAGCACAGCTCAAGCTCTTTTTTTTTTTTTTTTTTAAACCTTTATTTTGCTCCTTTTTTTTAACGGTACATCTTTAGATAAAACTCATGTGCAAAGGTATGATATTATAAATATATTCAGGACTTGTTTGACCATAAAGTATTTTCCAGCATCCTAATCCGCTTACCTGGTTTGAGTCTATGTACAGAGCTTCGAGGTATTTGAAGGGGGTTTGTTTTAGGAAAAGGCTTGTAACGGCGCTATTTTTCAAGAGCCCCCCCCCTATGAATGTTTATAACCTTTCATAAGCAAATCAGTGTTATTAAAGCCTGTCGACCAACCTCTTCTCTCACTGCTCTTTACTTTCCTTACCGGCGCTTTTAATCTAGTTTTAATTTGGTTTTTATTTTATTTTATTTTTTTTTTTCTGTTTCTTTCTACAAAATCCTGTGATATACTTTGCATATTTAAGCAGCTCATTCGTGTTCTCTTGTATTTTTACTCTTCCAGTTATGAGCATTGTTGTCGTTGATGTTGTTCTCGCTGTTGCTATTCGAGAAAGAGCTTCTACCAAAAGAGACGTTTCTTTGTAACTATAAATATAGAAAACCAACAGTATGTTTGCCACACAATACACAGTTCTACCATGTTTTTGTCCCGTTGTTGCAAGAGAACGCAAAAGTGCAAATATAATGCAAGAAAGCAAACTTTACTTGCTTAATTTTTAATTTTGAGGCTTAATTATATAAGTCAGTGAAAAAAGATTGTAATCCCAAATATATTCTACCAAGATCTTAGTCCATTTTAACCCCATTTAAAGAAACATATTAGTTATTCAGAGTCTGAGATGGGACTTTTATATGTTCAGCCATTTAAAACGCCTTAATAAACAAAGCTGAACACATGTTAAGACATTAAATACATTTAGAAACTGATGTCAGTCTGTAAATTCTTGTCAGTATCGGCTGTTTTCAAAACTGAAAAGATGGCCTATCTTTGGATCAATGCATACCATATACTTTCCCCAAGGATTTGTAACAAATTTCTGTTATTTAAAAAGAATGTTGAACAATTCCTAAACTAAAACTTTAAGTAAAGGACAACAAATCAGTTCTTTGCCCACTATTATTTTATCCTAGTTTTCTGAGTTTTCAGTTGTTTTCCAGGTATTTTTTGTCACTGTGTATGTGGTGGTGCCAATTAAATGACAAGTGGCAGTAAAAACATGTCAGAGATGACACATCTCCTTATTTTTTTCTCTTTCTTTGTTTGTAATAAAACTGAATGAAATGATGAAAACAACTGTGTGTTTGTTTTAAATGTATCGATTCTTTACATGCTAGCTTGCGTTGGATGGCTAGTGTTAGCTCGCTACACTTAGCTGTCACTAAAATTTGATCTGTAGATTTATATTTATTTATTATTTTTTCTAATTAAAGATGTGTTTTAGACTAAGTAAGGTTATGTAAAATTGTAAGCGGCAAGCAGTATCCTAAAAATAGTTATTTTTATCAGAATGCTAAGCTAAAGGCTAGTGAGATGGTAGCATTTCCAATGATGAATTTAAGCTATCTGAATATAAATCTGGTCTTAAATAAATCATATTTAATAAAATATCGGGTCAGTTAAATGCTACAATAATTTATGTTATGAGTTCACCAATATTTATTGGAGCTAAAGACTGTCTTAAAGTAGCTGACAGTGTTTTTCACAGGTGCCCCATTAGGAAAACGCTAATGTAACAGAAACTGCTCATTTTAAGCCTATTTTAATTTGTTACTTATAGTTTTCTGTTGTAAATTTCTTTAAAATTGTCCTGTTTGGAAATACTTATTTAACATTATTGTTAAAAGCCTACAGACCAAAAAAGATTTCCTATGTAAATAATTAAAAAAAAAAACGTTGTAGTGGACTTCTTACTAAACATTTCCATTTAGCAGTGATATTTTTTTAAGATTTGCAATGGCACTAAGGGTTCATATTAAGATTGTACAGTAAAATTAGTGGTTTTGATACAACTTTAAGCTAAAAAAACATTATCCAGTAACTTGAGATCTATAAATATTCATAAGAATAACTAAAAATTTTGAATTTTGTATTGGCGTAACCAGAGGTCTAAATTTGACAAATCATCCAGTGTAGTCCTGTTTCTCTGACTGTGACTGGCTTGATGTGCTCTCTTCATCCTCTGACATGGGAGCTCGTCTCCCTGGCTGTGTGTTTCCTGGACAGGGCCACCTTTTGCAGCTGCTTTTTGTATATCTGCTTCTGTCTCCTTGAACCCCAGTCGGCCTCGGCAGATGGCCGCTCACACTGAGCCTGGTTCTGCTGGATGTTTCTTCCTGTTATAAGGGAGTTTTTCCTCTCCACTTTCACTACAAGCATGCTTAGTGTGAGGGATCTGGTGAACTATAAAGTACCTTCAGATGACATGTGTTGTGAATTGGCGCTATATAAATACACTGAATTGAATAGAAAATCTGAAGGATCAATTAGACAGAGATGTGATAAGATATTTCCTCATAATATAATCGGTTTGGACTTCTCCAGGACGCTATGGGTAGATTTTACAGAGTAAAAAGATATGTGTTGATACACTGAACAAATAATGCTAAAGGTGGCACTCAAGCAAAATGTGCTTCTATAAAGGATTAAGAGTTGCGCAACAACACCACATTTCTTTTTTTAATTCAATAGAATAGAAACACTAAAATTATGTGTTACTTTATCATGGCCTTATTTTTTTAAGTTTCTCAATTTGTAATTTTGTCCTTGACAATTAAAAGAAAAGTATTTTTATCTTGTTAAACTAAGGTCTTTAGGTGGAATCCCTCTGAAATAATCAAAATCACTCCAGTAGCTTTTATTTTCCTATTATCGCTCAAGAAAATAAATGATACAGAAATAAAAAAGGAGAAATATTTATTCAACATTCACAAGGAATGAGCTCAGGCAGGGCATGCAGCCATCATTTATTTTACTAATCTTTTCACAAGGCTTTCAGGGTTATGATAAAAAAGGGGAAAAAATGTTTTAAAAAATGGATTCTGGGCAGAGATGTGTACTAAACTGTGTGCGTGTGGTGATGGGGAAGGGACAAGGCATGTTTTTCCTCAATTATGTGGTTCAGATTCAGATGCAGGAAGTGAAAATTTAGATCACCATTTCTGTGGGTGTGTTGAATGTGTATGTGTGTTTTATGATGAATACTGACAGGGAAATATGATTTCTACATGAATGGTGAGAGTTTGTGGGGTGTTGCACAGACATAAAAGGGAGTGAAGATAAAAGTGAAGAGGAAGTACATGGGATTTAATATCCAAATTTAAAAAGATTTACATTTGAAAACATCAATGTTTGAGTCCAATTAGGAACACAACAATCGCTGTCGTAAAGTGCTGAGGAGAAACCAATGCGGTCCGGCCACAAAAACTTCTTATAAACAAGAGTGGGAGTGCTGAATCCCACTGCTAGAAATACACCCTGAAATATAACAGGGAATAATACACAAAGCCGCAGCATAGGAGACACAGGAGGAAGTTTCATTTACGAAGAGATTTTTTTTAAAGGGACAGACGCATTTTGGTTAGGTCAGAAAGATGTTTAGATAATCTTGGTTCAATAATGGAAGAATTCCAAAGCTGTCATTTTTTTTTTATAAAAACCACAAAAACAGAATTTAAATCCAAAAGTTCTTTTTCATAAGTTAATTTACAAAAAGTTAATGCAACAATGGGATAAAGGACAAAAATCTGTCATTTTCTGTTCTAAGCCACTGGCAATTGTTACATGAATGGTGCCTTGTAAGCCCCCACTAGCTGATGGTTCCCACACATTTGAAACAAACTCATATTTTTAATTAAACCAATATCACAAGTTTAAAAATTATTTAAAAAATACTCTTTTACTTGTTTCAATCACAAGCTTGTGCCAACCTTTCATTTTGAAACGGATTAAGTCAGATTTCTGCTCGGTGTGGGATGATCTTAAAAAGGGTTCTGACATGTTTAAGGGTTTAAACATTTTAAACTGATGAAATTTACTTTGAAACAGAGATAGTCTGCTAACACCTAAAGGTCCAACACATGCATGATAAAGAAAACCAAGATAAACACTGTTCGAAGCAGTTTATCTATAGACTTCAGACAATCCACCTTAAGGATAAGGGTCTTATTGCAAAACTTATATTTGCCTAAATGTATTTTCACCACTACCATCCAGAAAAATACATTAATCTGCATGTGTAACGCTTTGAATGTTGCAAAACAAGATAAATATTTAATTACATAAAAGTATAAGTCAAGTGTATATAGAGGTAAAATCAAATATGCCAAATGGGACAGAAATACGTGTTTGATTAAGCTTGAATTAAAAAACAAATAGGTACCGCTTGGTCATTAAGGGTTCTAGTGATGAATCAGATTCTAATGAAGAGCTGAAGCATTGACAAGCCTTACTTAGCATCATTCAGTTTCTCTAAAAGCACCAAAATAACAATGTGACTTGCTTTCAGTCAAAAGCTGTGAAGCAGAGATGAACTTCAGCGTCATCCTTTTCCTACGATGTGCAACAGTAGCTTCATAAGAGTGTTTACACTGTGTATGCCATGTGACCCATTCCCATTGTGTACGCATGTTAATAAGCCATAAAAGACCGGGGCTCAATCAGAATACAGCAAATCAAAGCTCCTTTCTGGTTTTCTTGGCTCCTGTTCCTTCAAATTTCTTGGGGCCAGCACTAAGAACACTAACGTGTGTAGGAAAAGGAACGCTGTACTGCTGATCCGAATCCGGAGACAGCCTTTAGCCTTCCAGATGTCTTTATGCAACAGATGGCACTTATACAAAATGGCAGTATACAAATGTAGTGAATGGCTGAATCCATCTGTTACAAAAGGTGTGTTCATTTGCACATGGCATGCAACACACGTGAATAATGTTTATTGTTATTTACATTAGGTGGGCTGGGCTTATATGTCATGACACGCAAAGGATTGTGGGATTTCATAGATAGCATTGCGGTGACGTCACACATCCGAATGCGGACCTACCCACAATCGCTGCCATCTTAGTAGGGGTAATAATTTCCTTAGCAACAACAGAGGTACACACCTTCTAACTTCTACCTAAACTTAAGGACGCATATGATAAAAAATTAGCTCCAAGTCACTAGAGAAACAGCATCAGGGAGGGGAGACGCTACAGCTGACATAGGCAAGCGATAGAGGCTAACTCCAGAGGATCCAGTGAGCACAACTGAACATCCGATAATAAAGCCCTGAGTGCAGGGGAGAGGCTACAGTTGGCTAGGAAGAGGACAGCAGTACTTTGGAGGCGGCAGGTAGACAGGCTGTAGAGAGGCTACACGGACCAAGGCTAGCCTCTAGGCTAACTGTGCAGAATGAAAGGAGCCCAACTGAAGTATGTAATCGCACGATGCTATCTATAGCTCCAGAGCTACAGATAGGAATATTGCAAGTTTCGTCTGTTAAAAGAACTATGGCTACGTTCACATTGCAGCCTGAAGTGACCCAAATCCGATTTTTTGGCCCATATGCGACCTGTAGCTGATCTTTTCATGGCTGTCTGAACAACACCGATCTGATTTTTTCTAATGCGACCCAGGCACTTGGCTATGTGGTCCTGAATCCGCTACGAATCTGATCTTTTCAAATGCGACCTGTGTCTGAACAGCCAGGTCGCATTCATCCGACCTGAACGCCATTAAAACCCGACAAAGTTCACTATTCTAGTCTTGCAACGAAGAAGCAGGAAGAAAAACAACAACGTGGCGGACGATGATGCGGAGAGCAGTATTTATGTTTAAACATCTTGAAAAGATTGTGTTTTTATGGTTGGGAAAGATCGCTAGAGGCTCTACGGCACAACCATCCATGTTTACTTCCCAAAACTCACGGCACGCTGGCCTGTGAAGTTACTGCGTCCTCTAATGCGCATGCAGGAGACTTGCATTGTGTGACTGCAGTTCACACAGGAGATCACATACAAGTCGCATATATTTGGAAACGTGAACAGCAACGCAAAAAAAAATCGGATTTTACAAAAAAAAATCGGAATTGAGCATCAAGACCTACACTGTGAAAGTAGCCTAAGATACAGTAGGAAGCATCCAGGCTCCCTTTCCTACCTCCTTCCTTACTGCTAGCGCTATTCATACAGCACTTATGGCAATTCACCTCAATATTGGCTAAAGAGGCTAAATGTGAATACAGCAAACGTAGGACTGCTGTGCCAAATCTGGACAGCCTTTAGCTTTTGAATGTTATCATGCTGTTATCAAGCAGAAATGCACATGAATTATGCTAGTCAAATTAGGACTGCAGCCTTCAGAAAACAAACACAAAAAACAGCAAGATACACGAAAGAGGAACTCTATTGTGAAACTCAAAGCATGAATCACACAGAGTATACCTAAACTAATACGTACTTAAAGTTAAATTCCATTAGGTGGATTGTGCTTGTATGTCCTGCCTCGCGAAGGGAATCCATATAGGTTCAGCAATTAGCTACACAGCGAATCGATAGGTCCCTATGCTAAATGAATAATTAATAGGAAGCATTCCAGCTTCTTACTGCCAGCACTATCTGAGCAGCATGTATGGATGCAGACGCACAACTGCTTTGGCTTAAGAATCCTTACCTATTTACTATATTCAGACTAAGCTTAAGAGCACATCATTTATTCTCCTCATAGCATGTGGTGGACCTCCCTGGGCAAAAAAAAAAAACAAGATTGTCATACTGATGGTTATGATTTTGAGTTAGCATGTTCAAAGAAAACTAAAAGAAAGGAAAATATGATTTGATAGCTGATTTATATAAATGTCTGTGCTTTAAATTATTTAATGTATCTAAATCTAATGTGTAACTAACAACCTACTGGATACTAAGTAAAGATAAACTGATATTAATTAGCCAGTCATAGGAGAAACATTTGTGGGAGGAGCCTGTGAAGTAAAAAAAAGAAACAACTGGAGTGTTAAACTGAAATACAGATATAAAGATGATTATTACTATTAAGCTTAAAAAAAGTGCAATCGTGTCCAACTACGGTAGCCTGTGAGAGCACTCCATTGTATGCTAGTGCATTTAATTTGAAAAATGTTAAAAAAACAAATATAAAATAACAAAATAAAAGGTTTTTATTTGTTAGAAAATCTTGATATTCTGACGGCTAAATTTTAGGACCCTGTATGGAACTAGCAATGCTTTAAGTAGGAAAGACATAACCCAAACGTTATTTCCCGTTGCATAGTAGTATCAAAGATTTGAGTAATAAAACACTACCAGAAGTGTTTGAGTAACAGCCATTGCATCATCAAACAGAAGAGGAACACCCTAAAATAAAAAAAAATAAAAAAGCTAAAAGCTGAATTTACAGTTTTATGCTTTGCTTGCAATAAACTGAACCTTGCCTTTTAAACTATACACAATTTCTCCATAAAAAAAGAGAAGAAATTCACATCCACATTATTTAAAACTGCCCCCCCCACGTATTTTCGGCATCTCAATACCTCTGTAAAATATGTGACTTATATACAAAATATCTATAGAAAAGTGTAAATTCACACAGGTGCCTTTCATTGGTATCAACATAAAATCAGCACAAAGTGTTGGAGTCATCAGGTTTCATTCACACTCGCACAAAGGCAGCGTTTTTTTTTTAGAGTCAATGCCAACGACAGAGAGCGTTTATAGAGTTCTGACAATTGCAGATGTGGAAGGTGCACATCTCAACTGTCTTTTACTGAAGAGAGTGCAGGCACACTTTATTACATTATACAGGGGCCACCGTGGACCACCAAGGAGTTTTCCTATACTGTGGAGCCCTTTAATCCAAAGAACAGCTTCAATCACATCTGTTCTCTGGGCAGAAGTTCATCAAGGTTTTTTTTTTATGTTCACTGTAGGTCTTGGTTTTCGTCCAAAACTGAATTCCAAAACGGGCTGCAGTCCAGAAAAAAAAATCCACTACAGCTTCCACAAATGTGAGCTTTGTCTCTCAGATGAGCATATGTTGAATTACTTGGAAAAAGCAGTAGCCTTTTGTTTGGCCTTGTAGATAAAAAGCCCTTATAACATCCATCTTTTTAACGCAAAGTTCTGCAGTAGGTCCTGCTGGATTGGTGTAGTTTGCATCGGCGGTCTTCAGTTGACTTTAAAGATGCTAAAGACATGATTGGCCACTGGGTGGAGACTGAAGGACGGGCCCGTCATGGCCTGGAGTTCTGTGCCTTTCTCGAGGCGCAGGAGGCCGGACACCTGGCAGGGCTTCACGAAGTGGAAGGAGTGTGGCCCCGCCGACGGGGTGGTCCCATAGCCCTCCATGCACTGCAGCTTCTGGGGCCGGGGGCCGTTGGTCACAACGTCCAGCTTTACATACTGAGACTGCTGTTCATTGAACAATACCTGGGAGGGAGGGGGATATTAATCAAAACATTTTAGGATTTCAAATAAAACACGTTTCAAGGATTCAGAGGTGTCAAGTACTTAAGTACACTTTTTAGGTATCGATACTTTACTCCATTACTTATTTTTCTTCCTACTTCTGACTTCTACTCATTACATTTTCACATGTGCCATCCAATGCAGATCATTGGCTCCATCCACATCTAGTGAAAACTAGTATAATTGGATGAGTCATATAACGCAAACACTCATTGGTTAGCTAAATCATCAGAAGCAAGCAGGTGTTCTTCAAACTGAATTGTCTATGCCATGCTACAATGTAGGATTCAGAAAAAGATGTTGAAATGTCTGAAAGGTCGGACACAGGTGAGAGCGTATCGGGAGATGGATACCAACAAGACTTCCCGCATCCTTGCCCTATCTCAAAGAATATTTCAAAATAGTCAAAAAATGTAGCTTTCAATTAATATAGTGGCATCTGGCTGTTTTTTAAAGGTTACTTTATACTTTTACACTTTAAGTTGTTTTTGAAGCACATACTTTTTCACTTTTACTTGAGTAAAGAGGTCAAGTTGATACTTCAACTTTTACCAGAGTGTTTTTAAACTGCAGTATCTATACTTCTACTTAAGTAACAAATGTGTGTACTTTTGACACCACTGCAAGGATTCTAATGCTTTTTGGAATCATTTTTATAGATATTGTTTTTTGTATATTGTCCTATCATCATGACCATGGACAAATGACATAAAGACATGTTTTTGATAATAAAACACCATTGTACACTAAATCAAACTCTTTATTTAGCTCTGACAGCTTAATTAAAAACAGAAAACCAATCCTGAATAGCTCTATTTCTGCTTTTGGCAGGGCTTCAGTGCATATATCAACTCCCCTTTACTAGAATGGGGACAAATAAAGTCATTTTAAGAGCACATTACTTTTTATCTGTTTTTGATTTTTGTTTTTATGCCTGAACACCAGCCTAAATCTTTCTAAAAGACCTCCTGGGATTGTATCTACTGTGTCTCTAGTTCTCAACTTTAATTTAGCAGATTTATTGACATGAAGTCATTTTTCTGAGATGTTGATTATTTGCATTCATAGAACTCCCCAAAGTACCACGACTCCATTTTTCATCTTTTTTTATCACCATCTCCACCACTTTAGCTAGCATTAGCATCTTAGCCACTAAACTTATAAATCAGGTGCAATTGTTCACAGCAATGCTGTCAAACCACTTTGATAAATTTATTGTCAATATACCAGAACATTGATGCATCAAACACAGCTGCTCTGCCGAAGCGATCACAGCACTGAGCACAACTGATATATGAGGACATTTTGCAGATTTGGACAATATGCAGCTCGGCTTAGAAACTTCTGTCAAATAGATGTAGGAGGTTTGATATTTGTAGTTTGAATCTAATATGGAAAAGTTTAAATGTACTTTTATTTTCACAAACTGGGCGAAGGGGCATTATGTGACTATTAACAAACGTATCTGTATACAAACAGGCTACGGCTTGTTCCCTTCTTTATTTTTGTGGGTTTTTTTTAATGTAATTATTGGTCTAAGAGTTGAAGTTGTCCGTCCCAGAACATTTTCTACCATTGTGTCAACCCTAACTTAGGGCCCTGTCCCACCTTGCCGATTTAGCCAGCGTATGCCGACGTCCCAGAATCTTCTAAAATGCTGGCATACGCTGAACTTTGTATATATTTCTTCAATTTTGGGCGTATATATAGCGTATTCATAACGAGTCCAGAGCGTACGTTCAATTACAGCCTAAGTTATGCATAACGCACGGCAGCTTAATGCCCATGAAATGATGCACAAGCCAGTGTGCTGAGGGGCGTCACCTTCTCCTGATGGGGATGAAGTCTGGAGGAGAACTGACAATTTCCTACTGTAAACCCATTTTATAACAAAACATTACCAATACACCATTATACAGTAGCTGTAAGTTAGAAACACGTTCAGCTGTCGTCTGGAACACGTCAAATACGTTGATATTCGTTGCAGATAAGTTCTTGATAAGTTATACATAAGTTATACAGAAGTTACTGATACCGTAGGTTTTGGATAAGCTAGACGCCACAATTTATGAGTAACTTATACTTAACGTACGTCAACGATCAGATAACTTACCTGTAACGTATGGCACATGTATGAGCATACACCTGCATACGTACTTGCCGTATGTTGATGTGTGCCAGGTTTCTTCAACATACTTTAGCACGCTAAGAACTTATACAAAACATACCCATAACTTATCCAATCTATGCCAGCATTTTTGCTAGATTTTTCATACGTCATGCAAACGCTGTCTAAATCGTCAAGCTTTGAAAGGTCCTTTACTTTGGGAACAATTTGCCGCTGCTTTCACAGTCAAAGATATGAAGAAATCTTCTAAGAACTGCTGATACTATACTGGAAAGAAATATGCTCACAAACGAGGATCAGAATCAATAGATAAGAGTGTATCATATTGTGCAAAAAAGAAATAAACCATACAATTAAATTAAATTGATCTGATTTAGCTGATTTTTTTAACTAATAATTCATCAAAAACGTGTATTGGACATGATGGGTTGTTATGGCGTTATACATGTTTTTAAGTAAGAAACAAGGAATTGGTGAGATTTTTTTCAAATCTGGGTCAAAAAATATGCTTTTCTGCCCTTTCTACTGATAACAGTGTCATGATCGTGCCACTGATGACTGGCTTGATTGTTTATTGCATTCACCTGCCTGGCTCGGCACACTTTCTCATCACCATTCATCTATGTCACCTGCTCCATTCTTCATTTAGACTTTGGTGTTCTCCAGCAAACCTGATTGTGTTCTGGTTTCATGATCCTGACCCTTTCTGCCTTTTGACCTCTGAGCCTGCCTGTTCCTGCTCTGATCTGTTTGCCTGACCTGTCTGCGAACTTCTACTGGATTCTGCCTGTTCCGATTCTGGATCTGCTTCCTGACACCATCCTGGATTTCCATTCGGTACCTCTTTGGATCTCTGATCTTCTGCCCCGGACTCCTGTGAACCTCTCTGGCTTCGTCCTCTGGATTGTCCGGCCTTCCTTCGTCTGCTTGGATCTGATCTCTTGCAAGTTCTGCTGTCTTCAAGGCCTCAGCTTCCGGAACTCTCTGAGCAGCGTTCGCCGCATCATGTTGGTAGCCGTCCGGCTGGAATGCACCTTCCCCTCTGGGCATGGACCTAACTTTAAGACTAGAGGTTCCTGCCATAGACACCCTAGCTGCTGACTTCAGATATGTCGTTTTTAAATAAATGCTCATTGAAATATTCCTTCCTGTCTGTCTGTCTGAATACCGGGTCCTCTGTTCTGAGCCCTGACAAACAGTTATTCAAATATTTACTTCTTTGCGAATTTTTGTAATTAGTTCAAGATTGCTAAAACATCCCTATAGTATACCACAATAATAACTTTAAGGCAATATATAGATTGTTTGTAAAAAACCCTGGTTTACTGAAACCCACCTGACAGAACAGGAAGTAGACCCCTGCTCTCTCCACAGTGAAGGTACCTTCATCCTTGTTGTACCTCACTGCTTTACTCATATTCAGTGTCCTCTCCTCCCAGCCTTTTATCACGCCACCATCTCCAACTGAAAACCAAACAAGTCAACGCCTTGTTAAAAACTTCAAAGACTGTTACCAAAACACCTGAAAATGTCTTTATTTCTTAACGAATCTTACCTTGTTGGGAGGAGAGTTTGGTTACTGATGGAAAGTCGGGAGACAGTGATGGAGACAGAAAAAGGGGAAAAAGTCAATTAAGATTTTACGAGCGCAATCATATAGGGGTATTCGATTCAAAACCACTTCAGCAGATGCTTCACGAGACGATTATAAGGGATCTGCCAAGCCACTTACTCTCAAAATGAGACGCCGCTTTCCTTCCATTGCCATTTTTCCCTCGCGTCGAGACCCCTTCAGACACAAAGACGGGTAAAAAAAAAAACATAGAATATTACCTTTTTTTTCTTTTTGATAAAACAATCACTACCATCTGCATCACGTTAATAACACGGCGGGTTCATTCGCTGCCGCTTATATTCATCTTGGCCGGTTTTTAACGCAGTTAGCAGATGGCCTCAAGGATTTCCTTTCACGTGCTTCGATATATTTCCTCAAACTGTTATTGTAAAGTCACAAAGTGTATGTCTATTTTATTTTCCTTTTTTAGGCCCGGTGTGGGCTAATCTCAGTGCCAGCTGGTCGCAGTCATCTAGAAGATAGAGAACAGAGAGAAAAGGATGGAGGGCGATGGGGTTTGTGTGTCTGGAGGGCTGTGAGGAAAAGGGGAGGGAGGCAATAAAAACAAGATGGACAGTGGAAAACTGAATAAGAACGCATTGAAGACAGGCATTCAGAGGCGCAGCTGAGGGGCTAGAAGACTAAATGAGAAAAATGAAGCACTGGAAAAAGAGTTGAAAAAGGTCTTTGGCTTCTCTGTGACCCAAAACAGCAGATTAAGAGCAGAGTGGAGGAACAGCTACAGCCTCGTAGCTGCAGAGAAGCTGGCTTCTTGCTGTGCGTTTAGTTTAGCCTGAGGGGATTTAAAACACTGATACAACCTGAAGAGTGTTTGCAAGAACGGAGGAACGCCGAGCTTATGTTTCAGACGACCCACCTGAATGCCGCCATTATTCAGAAACCCTACACCTTGTTACTAAATTAACTCTCAGGTGGACAACCTTGTAGATTTTAGGATTTTGTGAGAGTGCTATAAAGCCCTCAGGGTGGCCAGGCGTTCCTAACTTGCGCTGTCAGTCCCAAGGAGAGAACATTACAGCAGTGTCTTTCCAAAAAATTCGGACGCCTGCGGTCAGGTTACCATAAACTGGAAAAAGCTGTTTAGGCATCTTTTTTTTTTCTTCTCACCATTGATATCCATGTAATTCTGCAGCATCTCACATATAGAGTGCATCCCGGCCAGACATGCTGCTCTTTAATAATGTTTGTTTCTCTCACATTTGGATGGATGGATCTTATATGAAGCTGACCTAAAGTTTACTTTCGGTCAGAGAAACAAAAAAAAGCGGAGGCATGATGGTGATGCAAGCAAATGCTATAAATACTCCGATGATAGCTCATCAAATCTCCTCACTTCTCACAATGAAATCTTAGCTGTTGTTGGATATTTGCTGAGGGAGAAAATAATTTTTTTTATTTTATATACCGAACAAAAAGTGTGCAGACAGACTCCCCCCTCCCTCCTCTGACCAGCTGGTTTTCTGGGCTTTCGAGGCTGCTCTGGTCAGACCTGTAATTTCTGCAAGGGTAAGCCAGCTGCCTGCGCTTTCCTGTGTCAACTTTTAGCAGCGGTAGCTCATGCGGCCCGCAGTACCCGACTTAAAGTGGCATGTGGGCTGAGGCCGGCCAGCGTTTGTGTTAAATGCTCTTCCTAAAAAAACACTAGAGTTCGGCTGGTATGTGTGTATTGTGTCTGTCTGTGGTGATCGGAGCAACTGAAAAGCTCAAGTCTGAAGAAAGGAGGCGGTTGGGGTGGTGGGGGGGGGTTAGCTGAAGTTGAGAGAAAGCAGCTCTGGCAGGTTTGTATTACCGTCTCGCTTCACTCGCTCCAGCAGCAGCTCTCTTTTCTCCAGAATCAGCTGAACGATAGCCTTCCTCTGCGTGTTGACCTGTTGGAAAATTACGAAAAATAACACAATCAACCCACGTCCAATTCGTTTCTAAAAGCTTTCAATCAGCTAACACCAAGTAACCAAAATGGACTTAAATAAAAAACGGCCTCAAACGCTATCGCCGTTTTTTGGCCAACGTATTTTAATTGGCGATGTCCGAATGTCCTCCTAAATCACTATATAGAGGTTACGCCATTTTAAATGAGTGTCCGAACGTCTAGTGGATGAAAAAGTAGTGAACTCGAAAATTCCCACAATGCACCTTGAAAAGTAGTGATCATCCATGGTCACTAGATGGGCACATATATACCGGCTCGTTTTGCGAGGAGAGCCCTCCTCACTTAGCATTATGCGATTTTCTGTCACAGCGGCCCACTGTTGCCATAAGCTGTTGCTACCCGACAGCGGCAACAGATAACAAAGCTGGCAAAGATGCTTACGTGACCAACGGGGAGAGAAAAGTAGCGATCATCAGTCCAAACGGTCATTTAACTGAGTTTGCTATAAAGTCCGCCATATAGTCTCCGCTCTATATAGTGATTGAGGGATGGAGGGGTTAGGGCAGACGTTCGAACACAGCCATTGTCTGGTTATGTGCACAGAATCTGGCGATTAATGAAACAGGTAATAAATGTTGGAGGTGTTGCACCACCAATCAGCTTCCTGAGTGAAACGCAGACTGAGAAATGAAGATTAAAAACATTTTCTTTCAACCGGGTTATCTGATAGCAAATATTACAAAAATTCCATAAAAATAGCGTTTATTTAAACTAGAATTGATATTTCATCCACTTTTCTGTTTTGTCTGCTTCTGTTTGTATTTACACGACAGATTTCATCTTCCCATCCAGAGGAACTAAGGTTTGAATTCGGACACAGAAAGCAGACCCAGTTTAAGTATGGATTAGGCATCTGAGTATAGAAAAACATACTGTTTTGAAAAAACAGTAATAAACTATTTAAAGCGATAGTGTGTAATTTTCAGATACAACTAATGGTCAGACTGCAGTAACATGAACCTTCCCTACCCAGCTCTTCTTCCACTCTAAGAATACGGAGACCATCGTGGTACAAAATGGCATCCACAATGTCCACATCATCTATCTTGTCAAGTGATGACGAAGTTTGTTTAAATAGATCATTTAATAATTGTATTTTATTTATCTGTGCAGGATTTATTCCCAACATTTGAGCGTAATGGCCATTTCTACATCCACAGGTTTGTCAGCTCTGAGCTGCCATAGCGCAAAGATGTCAGCCTGTATAAATGAGTCACCTAATTAGAAATAGCAATTTCTAAGGCAACAGAAATATAAAGCTTGAGTCTTTTAGTTTGCAGATGATAATAAATTACAAATTTACGTATAATATTTTACATGTCTGTCAGTAAATCCCTGAAATTCTTAAACACTGTAGCTTTAATAACACTGATGTGTTGTGTTTTTTTTTTTTTTTTAATCAATGACAGAAAGTACAAACGATCAAAATGCACATCGTCATAATTAAGTTTTTGTAATCAAAATGTAATTTTGTTTGGTTTCATCTTTACACTTCAGTCTTGTTTTTGTGTGGATACCGTAGTAAACTTTGTATGGATGTAGCCGGCCTAACTTTAAGCCTAATATTTATTAAGGTCTGTTTGTTTTATTGAAAACTTATTTGTTATTATTTTCATAAGTTACATGATTGTATAAATTAGAGATGCATTGCTGATATATTAATCCTTTAACTGTCACATCCAGTCCCCAGGACATATGTGGTGTCTTCAAATTCGGAGGCTCTTATAGCCACTATTGTTAGGATTCCTGTCTGTGTGGTTTGTGTTTTGTGTGTTTGTTTTCCTTCCTCCACCAGGCAACACCTGGTCCTGATTCACCTCCTCGCACACCTGCTAAGGGTACCTCATTAACGGAGTGGTCTTAAGCTGCTGACTGCCACTACCTCGACGCCAGAGTGTTTGCCAGTTTTGGGAAGTAACCCTCTAAACTGGACCTTTTGGACCTTCTCTCCCTGAAAGGATCAACTGAGCCTCAAACTGAGCTGGGGATTCAAACTGGAGGTTTGGATCCACTTTCCTCTAAGGGATCGTTTGAGTTTCACACTGAGCAAGGGATTCATCTGCACCACAGTCCGTTCAAGTATCGCAGGAAATCTGAGTGGCAGTCAGTTTCTCCGTTCTCCTACAAACAACCGCATTGTGGGTAAACTCTGTCCGCCCTCCACCGAATGAGACAAACACTGGAACACCCCACACCGACTGGAGTCAAAGAGTCAACCATTTCTCCTCTTCAAGTTCGAGAATCAATTTTCCCACTGAACCTGAACTAACCACAATGTCTTCCCCTCACCTTTCAATTCTGGTTGAGCAGTGTTCAGAGCAACACTGGAACCTCCACAAGCTTCTTAATAAACCTGTTAAACTTTTTCCCTGATCTCTCTGTATTGGTTTCTCTGAATGTGGGTCCGAGCTCTTGATAAAATCATGACAACTATAAGCTTAATGCTGCAAATCAGACCGTCTTAAGGGTTAAAGAACAGCAGTGGATTTAATCTATGCTTTTTTAGGCATTTCAAAGTCATTTTGGTGATTTTGATGTGGGCGGTGAACAATTTAGAGTTAATATCTATTGTTCCAGATCCATATGCGCTGATGTATTGAGTCTATTTCTGTAATAAATGTAAGTTAAAAACAATAACTTAAACATTTGGAAAGTTTATCCTATTATTGGTGTCTGTCTTTCTCAAACTATACAGTTTTTAAGGATGGAATTTGTCCTGTTAACCTGTTTTTTCTTTTCTGTTCTTATACTTTTTCAGTTACCTTCTGGGATATACATGTGTACATGTATGCATATCATGTAGAGCTTGTAGAGAGGAGATATTTAAAAAAAATCATCAGTAATGATGATGACATTGAAGCAAACAGAGCTCTGGTATTAGAAATGGGACCCGCAGATTTCCAAATTCAGGTATAGACATAGATAAGTATAGATAGAGTAAATAAAAACTAACATTTAGCTGTAAGAAAGAGAAAGAAAATTCTGTATTTTTTTTTTTTTTATTTTGTTTAAGTTCACATAAACCACTTTGAAAGTTTTTAAATCAAGTTGTTTAATATAGTTGCAGTCTGCTTCGGTCTTGGCCCCTTTTTACATCGCAATAAACAATAAAGCTCTGACAAAAAAAAAATGCTTTCAAGGTTTAACTATTTGAAATACAATGAATTATATTGCTGTATACAAAAGTACCTGCCATCTGCTTGAGCCTTCGAGTCTGGATTTGTACTATAAGATGAAGCCAAGAGTGTTCTTGGGTGCAGGTAAGATATTGACAGCTTTTAACCAAAAAATGAACAACTAGCCCTTTAAGAGCGGCAGCCTTGGCCCTTGCCATGCCTACTTTAGAGTGGCCACTTCCTCAAGGAGTGATTGCGACACCTAAGGCATGTTTTCTCTACCTTAATGTCTGCAAGAAATGATTTTCAAATCAGCAGAATGTGAAAATCCTTGACTGAGGCCCCCGATGGACCCTTCATGGAGCACATATGAGATGGTGAAAAGTTGCTTGCTAAAGGGGGGGGGGGGAGTGGGTGTTTAAATTTACTGCTACTGTTGAAATGGAGGCAGAGAGCCACACTTCACTCTCCAGACGTTTGCTCGCTGGATCTCATCAGGAGTTGGCAAACGGTCAAACGGACGGAACGTGGGGCCCCACGGGAAGGGGTTCCAGCAACAACACTCCACGTGTCCAATCTGAGTGTACGTGCACATGTGTGTGTGTGTCTGCAGGTTTAGTAAACATGCTGCACAGTCAGTTTAATCCCCCCCCTGATCAGAAATCCAGTGGTTTTGTTAATGCTCTCAGCTCCAAACCAGAAGAATTTACCATCAGCTCCAGTTTTGGCTTCAGTTTCGAAAACAAACTGTGATGCAATGTGCATTAAAAAAAGCAGAAAGCAAGGAATCTATACACCTTTCACTCATCTCTCTAAGTGTAACTCAACCTTCAGTCCATGCTAGCCCCTGTGCTGTGTGTTTGGATGCATGTAGATGATTTCCTACTTGCCACTCTTCCTCCTGCAGCCTGTTTTGTTCCTGAGGCTTCTCAGTCAGTCAGGGTGTCAGCGGCGGCATCTCGCTCATGTGCCAAATACTTGAGGCTTTCCAGTAAATTGAGATAAAACTAGAGCGTAACTGGCACCAGGGTGATTAAACAAGGTGGTGGGGGGTTAGGAGGAAGGAGGAGGAAATAAAAAAATCAGCAGAGATTCCACAATAACAGACGATACGAGGCTCGCACACAGAAATCTAATTTAGGGACCTTCCATCTCCCATCACTCTCCACAGCTAGTAGCATCACTTTTTACAGGTGCATCTCATTAAATAAAAATGAGTTTTTGTTGCTCCAGACTATAGGATTCTGATTTTCTTAAATTTCTAACTCATGACTTTCAAAGGTTTATATTTGTTGAAAGCTTTATATCTAATACTGACCCCAGCTGCAGTCAAAGCTCCTCCAAACCCTTATATTGACTTTGGTTCACAAATCCTCATGAAGTTGCAGTTGCTCTTGTTCTTTTTTAATCTTTTTTGTACCAAACATTTTTCTTCCACTGAACTCTCTGATATAGGCTTAGGTGCATTAAGTTTGATTTGCAATCCTTTGAACAGGCAGGGGCAGAGCTAGATGGGGGGCCACCCCTGTGAATAAAATAAAAATTGTAATAAAAACTTAGTAAATAATCAATTTATGTAAATAATAGTACTTTAAATATCAATAATACTTATAAAAGTAGGCAAGTAATGATAATGGAAGAGATGTTTACCCCAGAACTCAAGCCTGAAAGAATTTTATCCACTATGTATTTTATTTTGAAAGCACGAATATTTAAAAATATGCATCTATTCATTAGCAAAGGCTGTAGGAAAGTATAGTTTGTCTTTATTTAGTAAATATGGATGTTTTGCTCATTCATTTTCCTGTTGGAAAAGTGTAGATTGACATTTTTGGCCACCTGGCCACCCTTATAAAAAATGTCTGGCTACGGCTCTGGGAACAGGTTGCTTTCCCCACACCTTTTCCTTCCTGCTCATTTTCCATTAAATACTCAGACACCACACTTTTAATAGGCAGCTCTTTCTGGTTGTTTTTTTTGTTTGTTTTTTAGCAATAAACATTTGTACCTTACCCTATTTGGGGAGGTTTGGATAATTTGGAAAGTTGTCAAGGCATCAATCTTCTCTATTTTGGTATTTTCCTACTTTTTTGTAGAAATCCTGTTGCAGCTCCCATAATCAGTCTAACACTGACAAAGCAGAGAAGGAACCTTATGCTAAAGTGTTGCATATGTAAAGACAAAGATGATTATTGTGATAACTGGAGGTCTTCTTGACACCCTGCTGTTTGTCAGACAGCTGCTTGGTTTGCTTATACCTTGGGCCAACTCTGGAAAATACTACATCATCAAATTAGAGAAAATAAACACAAAAAAACAAACTAAAAATACCCAAGAGAAAGTGTTAAAAAGCTTTAACCCAGTGGTGCACCCCCGCAAAGATTCCCACAACCGCTGCCACGGCAGATCTTACACAAGCCTGTAATGTCAGTCAAAGCTGCAGGATATGATTGCTGTGCATATGTGTGCAGAGGTGCATGCATAACTTTTAGAAAGTGTGACACCGACCTGCTCGAGTCGATCCTGCAGGATCTGGAAGGACTGCGACAGGTCCCGCGTCTGCCTCCAGGTCCACGCCGTGAAGAGCGCGCTGCAGGCGGCCAGAGACAGAGCCACCAGGGCCAGGGAAGCCCAGACGACCCGCAGCTTGCGCACTCGCCTCCTCTGCAGAAACCGCTGCATGTTCGCTGCACTCTGCACAGCAGATTGCTCACTCACCGCCGCAGACCATCCGAGATTCACGCATTAACTCCATCCCAGCAGGGCATGAAATCCACTCGAATGCGCTTTAGTCCAAATGCTCCATCTTTTCTGTGGAGAGAGAGAGAGAGCGTTTGCTCTTTCCACTGCCTTTTAGGGGAACAAATGTCTAGTTTTTTTTTTATTTTAGTTCTTTAAAAAAAAAAAAAAGACAACAAACTAAGATTGGATCCTTTTCCTCTGGTGGATTCCAACCATTATCCCCTCTGTGCGCAGAGCGTCTCCAAACGCAAGAAAAAAAACCTCTGCAATTTATGCACACATCAACTGTTGCATCCTTCTGCTTGCAATTCGTTGACTCAGCGCTCTTGTGTTCCCTTTAAACCGCTTGCTGGGGGGTCAGTCTGTTAGACAGACAGCCAGACTGAGTGAGCACGCACTGCTGCGGGGGTGTGGAGGGATTTGCGTGGTGCGCGTAAAGAAAAAAAAAAAAAAAGCAGAGGAGGCGCACCGCAGCTCCTGCCGCCTGTCAGATCACTTTCATCAAGGGAGCATACCTTTAAGTGTGCCAATCATGTGGGTAACAGTATCCTTTGTGGCCGCCAGGCGGCTGTAAAGGTGCATAGTGGAAGATACTCTATTATAACAAATACATAAACAAGCTAAATAAACTCTTTTCAAACTGAAACCTGTTGCTATTTCTAATTATCTTGCAAAAGCATGCATTCCCCTTGAAACTGTCCCAATTTCTATCATATTATACCAACAAAATCTAATGTATTCTCTCAAGACCTTTCGAGAAATACTAATATTAAGCTCATTTATACATAGACCCCCAGAGGAAATACTCTAGAGCAGGGGTCTTCAATGTTTTCCAGGCCAAGGACACCCAAACTGATGGTGAGATGAGGCAGGGACCCCCTAATTATATATGGTATGAAATTGTGTTATATAAACTGCTCCTATAGTCACTCTATTACATATGGAGTAATGTAATGAAAGTAATTTCTCCC